AGTTACAGCTCTGACGGAGCATCTGGTGTCACTCCTGCAGACACAGACTTACAGACTTACTCTACTGTGAAAGTTTGAGAGAGATGCTGTGTTCAACAGCCACATATCCATTACCCTGCAGCCATGTCAGAGTACAACCTGAAGAGCTCACCAGAAACTCAACAATCTAATCAGAAGGAAAATGGTCAGTTTATAGTGGTGGCTGATGATGAAACAAGTTCTCAGCAAGGAACAAATGCCTGTTAATGAATGCAGCACATAAACCTACATGACTGAATGCAGCAGGGTGTTACATGTCTGTTTATCAGTTCGCCATCTTAACTATCTCTGGACGTCGTTTTCCTTCTCTCTTTTATGACACCACCCTCTACTGGTGCAGTTTGGTATCTAACATTACAGGACAGCACAGTTATTAACAGCTGTTACAATGAATGATTTATTGTGGGATGCCCTTATTTCATAACCGTGTTAACCCTAAAAAAATATTTCCTATGTATGAAATACAAAGGAATTACAGTGACTCAGTATCTTGAACTGAGTTTGAGCAGTTTCATCTTAACAATGTCTGCTGTAGATGTCTGCATGCACTGATCTGATTGTCTGATTAAATATTTGTCTTAACAAGCAGCTGGACAGGCATGCCTAATAAATTGGCCGGTGAGTGTTGCAGTGCTGCTGTGATGTATTGTACAGTAGTTGGTGCTACTTTCTCATTTTGTTTTTGCTCTCCTGTTTTCTGATGCATATATTATTTTGCTTTTCTCTATTTCAGAAGTTGTATTTTTGTAAAGTTTCACATAAATCCTTCACATTTAATGTTTATGTCTGAACTCTACATGAGGCACACTTTTTTACAAAGTGAGAAAGTTTTGATAAAAGGATTAAACCATTTGATGTCAAAGTCTCAAAACAGCATTTAAAGGTTTTTATTCACAGGTCACAGAGTTGAACTGATTTACTTGCATGTTTTAAAATACATGAAAAAGCTTTGATTTTACTGTTTGTTGAGACTCAAAATAAACAGTCATGAGATAACAAAGGGGGGAGGAAACAGGTGGGAATGCAGCTGAGAATAACTAACTAACTAATCTGAGGAAGTAAAACTGAAGACAAGAAAGCACAGCAATCATAAAACAGGAATAGAGACATGACTAAAGGAGGCAAGATCAACGTGACACAACTAAACGGGAAAATAAGACATAAGACAAGACACTCAGAGTGGAGACAGGACACGGGGACAAGACTGAAGGAACAGAAAAGGATCAAAACAGGGAACTAACAACCAGTCAAGGAAAGCTGAGCAAGGGACTAAGGTTATACATTGAACAATCTCAGCTTTTTATCTTCCACTTTAACTTTTCTCCATCGTTTTACTCCATCATTAGACTGAAAATCCTTCCAGAGCATCCTGCTGATTTAATTCACTCCCCAGCAGTTATTATCCAGAACACTGGAAATTTAAATGGGAGATTTTAAAGTTGATTCAGTGCCCTGTATGAAAAAAACTTGACTAAAGTAAACAGATCTCTGTCTTACTCAGAGACGTCTGCTGTGATGGAGCAGGACTCATTCACTGATCTCTGCTCACCTTCTTCTTGGTTTCCCCAAAACACAGGTCTCAGCATCACAGCAGAATAAGCTTTACATCATTACACTCGATCATTCTGCACAACTTCATCTCACTGATCTGAGCAAAAATGAGTTACGTAAAAAAAAACAAAAACAAAAAAACACTGAACACCAAAAATTGAAACAGTCACATGTATTTATACAATATTCATGTACTATGTTCACTGATCATTTCCTACAGTGTGTTTACAGTGTGTTTACAGTGTGTTTACAGACCACTACGGCTGAAGCTGGAGAATCTTCTTCATCACAGAAGTTTGTTTCCATCATAAATGCAGAAAACAGTTTTGTCACCAACACCTCCACAAATTAACACAACTGCATGCAGCTGAAAGAGACGACATGTTCTCTGTATCTTCTCGGGTTTTAGCAGAAAGTAGCTAAAGAAGGGTACAAAAACTTCTTTAGTTTGGACAGGACATCGGAAATCTCCGTTTTGTTTTCTGCTTTTTCTGTGAAAGGATGCAGCTGTAAAAGAATCATCCAACCAACTTTCTGACTGGAAGCTGAAATCCACAACAGTCATGATCTTAGCAGAAGCTGGGTTTTAGGTGAGCATCACTCTGTTCTGTTTCAGTCACATTTAAAATGTGTTTTGAAATCTGTTCTTCACTCACTGTTTAATTTATTTTTATGAATCAGAAGAAACAGGACTTCCAGTCAGTCTCCAAGAAGGGAAACATCAGACAACAAACAGCAGGTACAAACACAAACATCTCCTCATCTGTCCTGTTTCCCTTAATCCGAATGATCGTTTATTTGCCATCAGGAATCAATCTTAAGCTTTTGTTTTGTAGCCTTTTTCTGTCTCACATACACCTACCTGTAACCTTTTTTAAGGCCTCCACCTGAGCCCTGTATTAACTGAGTTCTTTATTCTGTTATCTGGATTCACTTACTTTAACTTCAGTACTCAGGATAACACATCACAGTTGGAGCCACAGGAAAACGATAATGTGTGTAAAGAAGATCATGATCTCCAAAGTTAAAGTTAAAAAAGCTTGAAGTAAAAGCATTGAGGATATCCTCAGGGTAGAAAGGGCATTCGACTGAACAAACCCAAAATCTCACCCAAAAATGCAGTAAAAACGTTGCAGTAAATGTCTACCTGCCTTAGTTGTCTGAGGTACATTTGTACTTCAGCACTTTTGAAAAGATAACTATCGTTCCATTTGAAGTGCTTAAAGAGATAATTTTACACACTTATATACTTGTACATGAGGCCTACAGGCAGAAATTTAGAAGTGAATCATTCAGTATCTAATGAATGATGCTCATCATGGAAACTAGAAGATTTTGGAAAAACTTTAGACCATTCAGTTATCCTCGCAGAGAAAGTCGGTAGTTTATTTGTTTTAGCAGCTCCAATGGCTGAAAACACTTGTATAATTAACATTCAATGGTCATGTAACCCATGCGAAATACAGGGCTACAAAATCCCTTTTCATCATCTAAAGCTATAACCTGTTATTGTCCTTGTGACAATAACAGGCTTTGATGCAGTCTTGTGTTACAAGGACCATGCGCCTCGTGCACAGGAAGCATTACCTGTCTCTTCCTGTGAGATCTTCCCTCTAATGGCGGTCAAGTGTGTCACAGCAACAGAAAAATATCTCAGCCCCGAACTCTGACCACAAAGAGAATGTATGTGTTTATGAATGGTACTGAGAATAAAGGTCCCAGTTGTTTACTTCCAAGCTAACTCCTTTTGTGAGTCGCAAATCAAAACGTCCTTCTGAACCTATAGTTAGATGACTGAGACAGGACTGATTTTTGCCACATTACAGAACTTTCCAGAACATCATCTCATATCATGTCTGACTCTTCTTGGCCTCACTATTGTGTATATCACCTTATACATTACAGTTTGCACTACTCCGGTCACTCTGTTGCATTACTCTGTTTACATCACACTGGGCACTTGTTTACACCACCTGCACTGCTCTGTCAATACATTGCAGTGCTAATATGGCACAAGACACTTTAACATTCCACTCACACAATGTACATTTTCAGACTTTTAATTAAAAATTTCCAGATTGCTTTATTAAATTAACTTATTGTATATATTTTACTTACTTAGTGTATATAATGTCCTCTTTAATCGGGGAGCGTTTCAGGACACAATTCATTTCACTGCATGTTGAACTCGTACAACTATGCATGTGACAAATAAAGAATCTTGAATCTGCAAAGTGAATCATCCAAATCATTTGATGTAATTTAATTTATGAATTTATAATAACTGTCTTGTCTCTGCAGATTAACCCTGATGTCAAGCATGAAAACATCTCAGTTCAGTAAGTAGAGCAGAATGATCATCGTGAAAACAGACTGCACTTCACTGAGCTTTTTCTGGGTAATGTGCAACTTTTTTTTAACCACAAAAAAAAAACACTGACAGGATCTAATAACATATATTAAAATGTGTAAATTGGAATCCTTAAAGTAAAACAATAATAAAGCCATCAATAGTGATAAGGAGCAAATGCAAAGGTATAGTTGTAGACTTGCTCCTGCAATATCTCGATTCTTCACTAGAGGGCTCTTTGTGGAGGGGAAATAAGTAAATGAGGAAGTGATGGTGTTAAACCTGAATGCAGTTTGTCTGCTGACACACTCACACAAGTCAGTCATTCCTGTTAGACAGAAGTTGATTTTTAACATTCATGTTTCTGATATTTTCCAAACTCTGAGAGCAGCAGTGATCGGCTCTTTACAATCATCATACATCAACTTTCTCATTAGAAGAGAAAATCTACAGCAGCCATGTTGTTGGCAGAAGCTGGATGTTTGTTCATGGGTTTCATTCTGTGTCTCTCAGGTAGGAATAATTTGTTTCTCCTCCTCATGATGACTGTGATGCTGTTTGTGGAAGGCAGGAGTTTTAGTGTCAAACCTGCAGAAAGTTACAAAATGATTTTAGAGAACAGAAGATTGACAGTTAACAGGATTTGTACTTTTACTGTTCTGAACTCTCAAGTGTATCAAAGCACCAGATTGTGATCCTTCACAGTAACATGCTGTCATCACAGATTAGCACAGAAAAGAAAGTTAGCATAAATGTTCACCATGTTTTCTAATCACATGTTGTGTTAAAGGTGTTCAGGGAAAAGCAAACAGCATCTGTGCCTTGAAAGGTTCATCAGTGAATCTGCCCTGCTCACATCAACATCCCACTGCAAGAAATGGCTGGTACACTGGACACGATACTGTCTCCAAGATTGAACTCTCTACAGATGAAACACATGTAAAGTACAGCATGTCAGCAGAGAGTAATTTCACTCTAACAATCAATAATCTGACAGAGAGAGATGCAAATTTTTACTGCATTAAAACTGCTGACAGATCAAAGTGCCAACAATGTGGAATTCATCTCCAAGTTACAGGTACAGTTCTTTTTACAAATGCATCACAAATGAATGAGTTTATGAATGATCAGTGTATTCATGTTGGTCATGTGACCTCTCAGAGCTGCAGGTAAAGGTGATTCCTGCCACAGAGGGACAGACAGTAACACTGATGTGCAGCAGCAGCTGTCCTCTGACTGAAAAGCCTGCAGCCTACATCTGGTACAAGAACAGAGAGTTTCTCTATGAGGACTGGTCTCCCTGGTACCAAGAGCTGCTCAGCAGTGAGGAAGCAGTCACATACTCCTGTGCTGTCAAAGGCTACGAGCATCTCAGAGCCCCTGAAGTCTCTGTGGGTGAGTCATGATGGACGCCTCCTCATCATGTTATGAGATGTTAAACACAAACACTTTACTCTTCAGACTCTAATGAATTTACTGAAAGTTGTTGGTTTTTCTCAGGTTCCATCACAGAGACCTGCTTCAGTGTGACCTATGCTAAAGGGAGAATGTGTTCTTCTCAGCAGACATCAGTGGACGAGTCCTGCTCCATCACATATCCCAGAGGTGAAGTTCTGGACAAACTGCACTTTGAAACTTCATTTTTATTTGTTGATTTATTTGACATGACAGAGATGAACTGGTGGAAAATGTGTTCATCATCTCCCAACAGAAATTCATGTCCAGAGGACTCCTGCTGAACACAGAGGTCACATCAGACTGACCTGTAACAGCAGCTGTTTTCTGACTGAGCCTCTGATTTCCTTTGTGTGGTATGAGACCAGAAAGCCTACAGTGCAGGAGGGAAAACAAATTCTAGTTTCCAGATCTAATCATGACAGTTTGTCTTGTGCTGTAAAAGGTCTTGAGGATGTTCGCTCTGCTGACGTCTGTGAGTAAACTTACTGTCTCTCCACTTACAAAGTATTACCACCACTTCTTGCAATTATGACTAATCATCACACTGGTTTCCTGTAAAGTTCAGGATCAGTTTTAAAACGTTGGCGATCACATCACAATTCTTATTATTTTCATAGGGTACTTAGTTGTTTTTTATTATTAGTATTAGTAATTACTGGTATATTTTAAAGTTATTTTTACTTGTACGTTGGTCAACATCTGTTGCGTTTAAATGTGCGATAGAAATAAACTGATTTGACTAATTAAGTTAAAATATCTCTTCTCTGTTTCATTGATATTTCAGGTGTTAGTGATTCCTGCTGGGCGTTGAATTATGTCCACAGCAGAATCTGTGCTCTGGAAGGATCTTCAGTCAACATCTCCAGTAAATACTCACATCCTGACTACGAGCAGATAAAGTCTAAATGTTGGTATAAAGTCAAGAGAAATGCTGAGGAGGACATCAGGAGGAACCTGACTGAGGATGCAGATCATGTGGAGTATGATGACAGCATGAAGAACCAACACATCCTCAGATTAAAGAAGCTGAAGAGAGATGACTCAGCAGAATACAGGTTCACCATCACAACAGAAAATGAAGAAGTGAAACAGTTTGATTTTCCTGGAGTTACTCTGATTGTCACAGGTAATTACAGCTTGTTTCACTCAGTGTTCAGGTACCAAAAATGTCCTCAAATTATGTAACACCTGTCACATGTACAGTAACATTTTACATTTCTGGCCCTTGGATCACTTGCTGCCACAGGTAGGTGCATTTTTGGTTACCGGAGCAGAACCATCCACAACAGCATCCATGATGGAGTCACCAAACGTCTCCAGATCTTTATGCCAAATTATGCAAATTAATTTCTGACACTGCCAGATTTAGACACTCTATATTTACTCTGTAGATTCTTTATGTGTTTCATGTTCTGGTGAGTGATATTATAATATTAATATGATGAGAGAAAAGTCAAACCAAATCCTACAAATAAGTTAAACCTGCGTTCTGTTATCCTGTTATGTTTAAAATCTTAATTCGTTTTCTTTAAACAACTTTCTCATGCTTTGAAAAAGAAAAGGATTACCTGAGCAACTTTGTAATGTTGACATGGTTGTTTTGGGAAACTGACAACTAACCTTATGTTTGTAAATAGTACCTTTAAAATGCAGTTGTGTAGGTTGGAGAGTACAGCCTTTTGAAAGGTCTAATGTTACTGATGTAAGAAACATGATAAACATGACCTGAGAAGAGGTTTGATCCTGTTAATCCCTCCAAAGAAGCCATACTTGTTCAGTTTTTTTCTAAATATGGCATCATAAACGTTGACCTTTGACATGCTAGATGTGACTCTGTTTTTTTGCAGTTTCTCTGAGCATTGCGCGGTCTCACCTTTTGCTGTGAAGATTGGCAGCTGTTTTGAAGGTTTTCCACACCTGAAGAATCAGTCTCACTGTAGAATGAGGGCAAACTGTCTGTCAAGTCAAGTCACCTTTATTTGTATAGCACATTTAACAGACACCAAGTGTCAGCCAACGTGCTGAACAGAGGGACAACGTAGTCAAAATAAATGAAATAATTAAAATAAATGATATAAAAATATTTTTTAAAAATCCATATGTATATATATTTAAATGTGTGTGTATATAATGAGAGAGAGAGAGAGAGAGAGAGATGAATACACACAGACACAGGTGGGCACATGGACATGAATACATATATATATACAAATTCTTACATAATCTGGAAATGGTCTTGCTGATATCTTTTCCTCCTCGTCATTGTGTTAACTCACAAACTGCTAAAACCTCTGTTTTTATTGAAGTGATCATCACACTTGCTGATGTTACCTTGGTCATCTGCTTGGTTCTTAGCCTCTTAAGTCCTCATAAGCAGTACAGGTGTCTTTAGTTGAGGTCCGCTCAATATTTATTACATAAATAATTGCATAGTGTAACATGTCCTCTTGGATTGTTCATCTGTGGTTGTATTTACCTTATTTCAAGACCTGCTGAGGACAAGATCTATTTTGTTTTTTTCCTAATTCATAAAATCCTACAATTGAAAGTTTCTTTTTACATTTATTGACCAGTCTGAGTGTTTTTCAGAGCTGAGAGTGAAGATGAGTCCTTCTGCAGTGGTGACAGAGGGTCAGAGAGTCACACTGACCTGCAGTACCAGCTGTCCTCTGACTGACAACACAAACTACATTTGGTACTTGAACAGTCGACCTCTGACCCCGAGAGAGAACCAGATCAAACATCTGATCCTAGACCCAGTCAGCAGGGAGGATGCAGGAAACTACTCCTGTGCTGTGAAAACCAACAAAGATATCAGCTCTGCTCCAAAGACTCTCACTGTCCAAAGTATCACAGGAACATGGACACCAGCAGCTGCAGGAGTTTCTGCAGCTCTGCTGGTTTTAATACTTCTCACTGTCTGCTGGTGGATCAGGTGAGGATGAGCCCTGTTTTCTCTCTCGGTTCAATCAGATTCAGTCTCAAATTCTCAGACTAACCACGTGTTCATCTTTGTATTCACTTTTTTTTTACAAACCAGAAAAAAGAGTAATTCTCACAAACCTTCAAGACATGAAACTCTGGATGACTCGCACCTGGTAAAGAATAACATATATGTATACATATATATAAAACTGTACTATAACATAAAACATCAGCATCATCTATCATGCTTCTTTCACACCAGCTAGGAGAGAGGCTTCATTTTAAAATAGATGTCCAAATCATTAAAATCAGAGAATTGTTGATTTCTGGTTTTCTTCTCTTGTTTTAGTAGGCAGTGATTTTGTTCTGCTGACAGTTATATTTTGTACCAAATGTTCCACGTCCTGTACTTCACGGTGGAGGTCATAAATCTGTAAAAATTTCCATGTAAATGATTTTAAACATTTTATTAACATACCACCTCATACAGCTGAGCTACCATATAAGAGCTATGAGTGAGTCTACTTTGTGTTAATCCTCTCTCCAGCTGAGCTCTGCACTGAAAGATCAGCAATAAGTTCAACAATAATAACAATAATAACATCTCAAATTGTTATTTCTCTCTTTTTTTTTGGTTCCAAGTATGATGAAATCTCACCCCAACCAGCAGAGCAGGATCATCACTACCCCAGACTTAATTCTTCAGAGGATGAAATGGATCATCTCTATTCCACCATTCCTCCATTTGAGCCCCCTTTATAAGGCCATGTCCACTATGGTTCTGTGGACAACTTCTGACCCAGTATAACCCCTAAGTGAGTCTTTTCTGTGAGTCCAATTTCACTAACCACACTCAGGCCTGAATACTGGCAAATCTCTTAAATAGAACCTGAAGCAGGCTAAAAAGTCCCAAAAAGCAGCATCATGTGATGGTTCAACGAAACTCAAGAACAGCTTAGAAGATATCTCATTAACATCTATCAGTCAGTCTAGAAAGGTTTACATAAGATATTTCAAAGGCTTCAGACTCCAGCGAACCACAGTAAGAGCCATTATCCACAAATGAAGAAAATGTTTTGTGGCTGTCCCCATCTAGACACCTTATCTCCACCCACTCTGCCTCCAGCAGTGACCCTGATCAAACCAGGGTTTGTGGCATCTTTGTAGAGCATAACTCCACCATAGCTTGCCCAAAACTTCCCTGTGATTCTTGCAGCAGGCTGAGCCTTGCCGTCTGTAACTCTCCCAATAAGACAAGCAACAGCCATATGATCCATTCAGTCATAGGCCACCAGCATGCCTCGACTATGGCTTAAAAAGACTAAAAAAAGACTGGAGATCACCCCCCTCTCTCATCCAGCAGTGGCGGTGCAGGCCAAGACCCAGGCCAAGCAAGGAGGTTTTCCAAGACCTGCCTCTGGCACTCAGTCTCCTCCTGCAGTGTCTCTGCTGATGCACCACCACCTGCTAACACTGCATCATCACCAGGTCTGCCACCATCTGCACTAGCACCTCGACCATCTGTATGTGTTGTGGATTCTGCTTGATGTACTATGATGGATGTTTTTAACGCCTATTTATTCTTTTGATTTTGTGCAACCTGTGTCTGTGCCTACACAAAAATGTGGGCACACGTTGGATCTTGATTTGACTCATGGTTTACCTCTAACTTAAAGGTTTTGTGATGTTGTATGGTAGGATCATAAGCCTGTCTTGTTTGAGGTTTCCCTTCCTTCCTTGCTGTCAGAAGAAAGTTTAGGAGAGCTGAACATAAATGGAAGAAGAATCAACTTCAGGTGTCATACCAAACATTACAGTATTACTGGAATTCATATCAGAAAACTTTTAAAGATACTAAGAGAAAACGTTTTGCTGCTGTTATTCAGGCAAACTCCTGCAAGCATTACGCCTTATTTAAAAACCACTGACGTGGTCCTTCATGCTCCACAGACTGTTGGTGTCGAGTCCTCTCAGGAAATTTGTGAAAATCATCGGTGAAAGCGCAGATTTCCTATTCCGTTCTCGACCCTTCTATCCCTTTCCATATCTCTGTTGACTTTGACAGGTTTGCACCAGTTTCTTTGCTTTGCCTGCAGGAGTTGGTCTCTCACCTGAAGCTCTCAGGTTCCCCTTATGATGCTCTCCCTCCTCGATTTTTCAAAGAGGTTTTCCTCACTACAGCACCATTTGTGCAATCCATTGTAAATAGTGGTTTTCCCTCTGGTGTTGTACTTGTGAATCTTAAACATGCATTGATTCAGCCTCTACTCAAGAAACCTGCTCTTGATCCTGATATTACTGCAAATTACAGGCTTAATCTCCAAACTGCCTTTGATCTCAAACATTAATGAAAAGCAGATTACAAGCAATTAATGTCCTTTTTAGAAGAACACAGTATTTTAGAAGTTTTTCAATCTGGTTTTAAAGTTTTGCATAGTACAGAATCTGCCCTTCTAAGAGTTTTTAATGATGTGTTTTTAGTAACTGACTCGGGTGACTGTTATTATTGTGCTTTTACATTTAACTGCTGCCTTTGATAGAGTGGATCATAAGAGTTTAATTTACAGCAGTTGGCGGGTGTTAGGAGTACCGCACTGCAGTGGTTCACATCCTATTTGGCACATCGAACTTTCTCTGTGAAACTTGGTGAATTTTTTTGTTTTTAAATCTCTGAATGACCGTGGGTTTGCTGTAGCCGCTCCAAAGTTGTGGAATGATCTGCCCTTGTACGTTAGGCAGGCCTCTTCTTTCTCAGTTTAAAACTCTTATTATAACATATTTATCTGCTGAAGCCTTTGGCACTCTTTGAGGGGTTGACTCAACTTGTTTTATCAACTTGTTTTAACATGTTTTGTTTTATTTTTATTTTATTCATTTATTTATTTTATCTTATTTTGTGTTATTTTGTTTTATTGTGTTTATGCTATTGGTATATGTACAGAACTTTGTGAACCCTGGTTTTAGTGCTTCATAAATAAAGCTGGTATGGTATGTTTGGCACCACTGTAGCAAGTCTCCAGCTACTGAGGGGACCCACCACGACACGTCAACACACAGGATGTGGATGAGTGCACAGTTCACTGCATTTAATTGGTTGAGGCTACAGAAGCCACGCAAGCCTCTATCTTTAGACTCTAGCTCTGTTCTGTTTTCAGGCTACTAAAATAGGGGAGGCAAGATTAGGTTCTGATAGCTTTCTTCCTTTAATAACTAAAATCATCAATTAAAAATGTATTTTGCATTTACTTATCTTTGTCTAACAATAAAATGTATTTGATGATCTGATCATTTTAAGTGTAAGATATAAAAAAAATCAACAAGGGGGTGAATAGTTTTCAAGGCACTTTGATGGTCTGTAGAAGAATCAGCCAAAGGTTTGAAGCAGTTCAATGTAAAATTAGAATAACTGTCTTGCCTCCTCAGCTGAACCTTGACTCTATGGATGAAAACATCCCAGCTCATCACTGTACAACACTGCACTTCACTGATAACCACACGGGTGACTTTGAGTCCACAATCAAGTCACTGCCTGCTCACTAAAAAAAAGAGTTTGTAACCAGTGATGGTTTTATTGTCTGAAATAACTTCAGCATCAAAACAGAGACACCACAGCTGGTATATCGGTCAGTGTTCACTCTCTGTTTTCGGGCATATTATACAGAAGAAATCAGAAGAAAAGTAGCAGTGCTTGAATTGTTCAGTTGAAAAATGTGTAATAATGAACTTCATGTTTCACAAATGTCCTGCAAAATGCAAGAAAACTTGCTAGTGCTTCAAAAAGGGCAGTTTTCATGCATGCTGTCAGAAATGAAAACTTCTGTCATCATGTTTCTTTATTTTTTTACACCACAAAAGAAAAATCCAGTAACTGTCAGGGTCTGTGGGATGAGCAGACCAAGTGTAGAGGTCGAGGACCCAAATGCGGACAATGGGAGACAATAATACTATAATAAAAGGCACCATTTATCAGGTTGGTAATCCAGACAAAAAAAAATTACAATAAAACTAAAACTTTAAAGAACTACACTAAGCAAAACATTAGGAGGCACAAGAAGCTAGAAAACACTGAGGGAAGGTGAGCTGATGATCCATAAAGGACAAAGGGAGACTGACACAATATATACACAAGAGAGAGCTTAGGGGATATTGATCCCCTGATCCACACGATCAAGATATGCAGCAACAACGTTGGAATGCCATTCGTACTGGAGAAGTGTAGTCAGATGGTAATGAAGACAGGAAAAGTGGTCAGAACTGAGGGGATCGAATTACCAGAAGGCAACGTTCCAGACGCTGAGGACAGCTACAAGTATCTGGGAATTCCACAGGCAAATAGAAGACACAAAGAAGCCGGTAGGAAAGCTGCAACCACTGAGTACCTGTAGAGGGTTAGGCACGTCCTGAAGAGTCAGATGAATGGTAAGAACTAGATCCGGACTATCAACACCAACGCCCTGCTGGAATAATAAACTGGCCAACTGAGGAGATGGAAGCCACTGACATCAAGACAAGGATGCTCCGAACCGTGTATGGAGGGTTTCACCCCAAGTCCAGCACCCTGAGGCTCTATGCTAAGCGGAAGGAAGGAGGCCGGGGACTAGTGAGTGTCAGCACCACAGTCCAGGACGACACAACGAACACGCACAAATATGTCAGGCCGCATGCTCAGTGAATACCACAGGCAGCAGAAACCCAAGAAAGAGGAGGAACCATCACAAAAGGACCCGTCCCATCCTGGCAACAAACTGTTCCAACTTCTGCAATCTGGTAGAAGGTTCCGCATCTTCTGGGCAAGGACAGAGAGACTCAAGAGGAGCTTCTATCCCCAAGCCATCCGTGCCCTAAACACACACACCCGCCCTCTCACATCATCTATAATTGACTGAGTCAGGACTCTTCCAGACACTAAACCAAGGCACAATGTGTCAGGGCTCGGCTGTGTGGCAGGCAGGAGGAGGACCCAAAATGCAAAACTCACACAAACGGGGATGAACTCAAAAGGCAGCTTTTATTGCTGAAGAGGCAGAACATAGGAAATACAAAACTAAACTGGGAAAAGTAAACTAACACTCGGAGGGAGAGACACAGGGAAATCCACGCAGCATGAGGGACGACGTCACACTGAACAGAGGGAGACGCAGACAGAAATACACAGAGGGTTAACGAGGAAGGTGGGAACACACGGGGAACACAGGTGACACTGATAATCATAACGAGACAGGGCGGGGTGAACTGAACACTGACGGGAGAGGTGAAACAGGAAGTACAGGAGGAGAGAGAGCACGAGTAGAACACCAACGTAACAGGCAGGGGAGACATGGAATAAACACGAAAGGGGACGAGGGCTCATAAATACATAGAGGGCACACAGGGGGAAGAGAGAGCACGGGGAGAACTTAGACATAATGGGCAGGGGAAGCATGGAATAAAATACAAACATACAAGGAAACTAAGAACACTGGGCCAACATGGCCCAGGACCATGACACAATGTACATTTCAATTCCTTTAATTTTAAATATGTTTATATTGTCTATCCTGTAAAATAGTCAGATGTCTATTCATATTAATGTACAGAATTCACCTGCTTGCTGCTACTACTGCACATTCACCCAATGTACATACTACATATATATATATACATATATATAATGTTTTCCTCTACACCCCCCCCCCCCCAATTTTTTTGCACATGTCAAGGAGCGTGTCAGGTTACATTTCACTGTGTGTTATACTTGTATAACTATGCATGTGACAAATAAAGAACCTTGACCTTGAAAAGGTTAGTCCCCTGTGCAGTATGTACCACCATCAGATAGAGGAAGTGGCTGACATCCAGAAATCCTACCAGTTGCTGGGCAAAGCCGGACTGAAAGACAGCACAGAGGCACTAATCATGGCAGCACAGGAACAAGCTGTAAGTACAAGATCCATAGAGGCTGGGGTCTATCACACCAGGCAAGACCCCAGGTGCAGGCTGTGTAAAGGTACCCCTGAGACAATCCAGCACATAACAGCAGGGTGTAAGATGCTAGCAGGCAGGACAGAAACATCTGTGGCCTGGAAAATGTTCTGGAAGTCCCGAGGTCAAAATGGACCTCCCTCTAGGGGGGTGCTCGAGAATGACCAAGACTGACCGAACTAAGATCCTGTGGGACTTTGAGATATAGATGGACAAACTGGTGATGGCGAAGTGAATGGACATAGTAGTGGTGGACAAGGAGAGGAAGATGGCCATAGTGATAGACGTAAAGATACCGAATGACAGCAACATGGGTAAAAAGGGACATGAGAAGCTGGAATTCTTATATATAATTTTACGGTACTGAACTTTTACGTCATTTAATTGTTTACTTATTACTTAATTACTTTAGTGTAGTATGGTGTAGTATACATTGGTGTTGAGAAACTTACAGTTAAAGATGAGATCTTCAATATCAAAGTGTCATTACTGACTAATTAGTCTAAAGAAGAATTCCGTAGAGTGAACAGTATAGATCCAGATGTGTG